CCTACCTTCTGTCATTTCCCCTTAATAAGAACAACATGCCTGTATTTCTCCTCTCTACCCTTACTACACTCCTCACACCACAAGCACAGGAAAAGCTCTTCTTTTTCTCCTTTATTACATCATTTTACTCACAGAATATTCTACTTCAGGTCACCAAATGGGTAGCTTTTCCATACCAAGCAATTCTCCGATTTTCCAGACACCAACTGAGTGTCCCACAATTTGGTTCCACTCTGACACTATCTACCTGGAGTTAGCAATAATAGATCCCACCAGTTAAGGGCTCAGTCCCACAAGACTACCCCCTCCCCCACTTCAGACACCAATCCCAAGTCCAGCTTGACAGTATACACCTACTAAAGCTGAACACAAGCAGCGCAATGACCCAACAACATCAGGCCACTTATATATCCCAGAGAAATGAGTGAATGTGTCCACCAAAGGGTGTGTTCAAGAGCATTCCTGGCAGCTTTATGTATTAGAGAGAAAAACAACAAATGTCCATCAACAGAATGGATAGGCAAAACTGAGTTATTCAGACAGTTACTTAATCAAGTTACTCAACAATAAAAAGAAACCAAGAACTGATATCTATAATTGTTTGATTCCATTTACATGAAACATAAACAAAACCTTCTGTGGTGATAGAAATGTTGTATACCTTGATCAGAGCACTAGTTACATGGGTGTGAGCACTCACATGCACGTCACTGTATCAATAGAGAGGTTTTTCACTCATCAATAGAGAGATTTATTTTAATCCTCTGAAGAACTAAAGATTCCCAGATTTTAGGGCTGCATACTTTTAACTCAGAGAGGAAAGAGCCTAAAATTGTATAAGCAGAGCTCATATCGAGTTCCAAAGGGCAATGGGAAACCATGAAAATTCTTTGGCTCTTTCCTACCTCCTTCCCTGCCTTTAAATGTTTTCTTCACTTTAAGAGACACACCATATCTTTTCTAATTAAATATTAGCCATTCTACAAGGCCCTACCAATCATCATCTTCTTCAAGTAGCCCTTCTGGATTTCCCAGCCAAAGACATTCTCTTTCCTCTCAGTTCTTATCTGCACCTCCCTAAAGTACCTATTACAATGAGAGGAAATACAGTTAATTCACAATTGAATCTATTGATAGAAAGTTGTATATTGCCCAGATAGCAACTGTGAGTCTCAACCAGGTAAAAGACTTTACGTATTGGATTACTGATTTCTGTGAAATTTGGAAGCTGTATTCTTGTTCAGTTTAATTCAGTATGCATTTTTTGACTGCCTACTGAATGCGTGTCATTGCACTAGGCCTATAGAAGCTAAAGACATGAGCCAATTAACTATACAAACGGCAGAATGAAGTAAATGCTAAAGAGATATGAGCAAAGCACCATGG